ATTCAAAGCATATAAACAGATTCCAGCTTCTCAGTGACGCAATATATATCTTTCAAAGTTGTCTAAAAAACATCGAAAAAATTGACGAAAAATCCAAGGCTATAGCCTAGAAAAAATGTCATTTTTCCCGATAGAAAATCTCTACCTTGAAAAATAGTGTCTGTGGTCACTTTCAGTGGATTCAATCATTAAACAATTTCAGCTTTTCTAGGAGCAAATTATTATTCAAAGTTGTTAAAAAACATCGAAAAAATTGAGAAAAATCCCCAAAGGCTATAGAGCCTCCACTTGAAAGAGAGCACAGACACTATTTTTAAGGTTAGAAATTTTTATCGAAAAATGACATTTTTTCTAAGGCTATAGCCTTGGGTTTTTCTCAAATTTTTCGATGTTTTTTAGACAATTTTGAACAAAATATATTGCGTCCTGAGAAGCTGCAAACTTGTTGATATGTTGAATCCACTTGAAAGAGAGCACACACACTATTTTTAAGGTTAAAAATTGTTATCGAAAAATGACATTTTTTCTAAGGCTATAGCCTTGGATTTTTCTCAAATTTTTCGATGTTTTTTAGACAATTTTGAGCATAATATATTGCGTCCTAAGAAGCTGCAAACTTGTTTATATGTTGAATCCACTTGAAAGAGACCACAGACACTATTTTTAGGTGAGAAATTTTTGTCGAAAAATGGCATTTTTTCTAAGGCTATAGCCTTGGATTTTCTCAATTTTTTCGATGTTTTTAGACAACTTTGCATAATATATTGCGTCCTAAGAAGCTGCAAGTTTGTTTATATGTTGAATCCACTTAAAAGAGACCAAGACACTATTTTTAAGGCGAGAAATTTTTATCGAAAAATGACATTTTTCTAAGGCTATAGCCTTGGATTTTTCTCAATTTTTTCGATGTTTTTTAGACAATTTGAACATAATATATTGCGTCCTAAGAAGCTGCAAACTTGTTTATATGTTGAATCCACTTGAAAGAGAGCACAGACACTATTTTTGGAGGTTAGAAATTTTTATCGAAAAATGACATTTTTTCTAAGGCTATAGCCTTGGATTTTTCTCAATTTTTTCGATGTTTTTTAGACAACTTTGAGCATAATATATTGCGTCCTAAGAAGCTGCAAACTTGTTGATATGTTGAATCCACTTGAAAGAGACCACAGACACTATTTTTAAGGTAAGAAATTTTTATCGCAAAATGACATTTTTTCTAAGGCTATAGCCTTGGATTTTTCTCAATTTTTTCGATGTTTTTTAGACAACTTTGAAAATAATATATTGCGTCCTGAGAAGCTGGAATCTTGTTTATATGTTGAATCCACTTGAAAGAGACCACAGACACTATTTTTAAGGTAAGAAATTTTTATCGCAAAATGACATTTTTTCTAAGGCTATAGCCTTGGATTTTTCTCAATTTTTTCGATGTTTTTTAGACAACTTTGAGCATAATATATTGCGTCCTAAGAAGCTGCAAACTTGTTTATATGTTGAATCCACTTGAAAGAGAGCACAGACCCTTTTTTGAGGTTAGAAATTTTTATCGAAAAATGACATTTTTTCTAAGGCTATAGCCTTGGATTTTTCTCAATTTTTTCGATGTTTTTTAGACAACTTTGAACATAATATATTGCGTCCTATGGAGCTGCAAACTTGTTTATATGTTGAATCCACTTGAAAGAGAGCACAGACCCTTTTTTTGAGGTTAGAAATTTTTATCGAAAAATGACATTTTTTCTAAGGCTATAGCCTTGGATTTTTCTCAATTTTTTCGATTTTTTTTAGACAATTTTGAACAAAATGTTTGCGTCCTGAGAAGCTGGAAACTTGTTTATATGTTGAATCCACTTGAAAGAGAGCACAGACACTATTTTTAAGGTTAAAATTTTTATCGAAAATGACATTTTTTCTAAGACTATAGCCTTGGATTTTTCTCAATTTTTCGATGTTTTCCAGACAATTTGCGCATAATATATTGCGTCCTAAGAAGCTGCAAGTTTGTTGATATGTTGAATCCACTTGAAAGAGACCACAGACACTATTTTTCAGGTTAGAAATTTTTATCGAAAAATGACATTTTTTCTAAGACTATAGCCTTTGATTTTTCTAAATTTTTTCGATGTTTTTTAGACAATTTTGAGCATAATATATTGCGTCCTAAGAAGCTGGAAACTTGTTTATATGTTGAATCCACTTGAAAGAGACCACAGACACTATTTTTCAGGTTAGAAATTTTTGTCGAAAAATGACATTTTTTCTAAGGCTATAGCCTTGGATTTTTCTCAATTTTTTCGATGTTTTTTAGACAACTTTGAAAATAATATATTGTGTCCTATGGAGCTGCAAACTTGTTGATATGTTGAATCCACTTGAAAGAGACCACAGACACTATTTTTAAGGTAAGAAATTTTTATCGCAAAATGACATTTTTTCTAAGGCTATAGCCTTGGATTTTTCTCAATTTTTTCGATGTTTTTTAGACAACTTTGAACATAATATATTGCATCCTATGGAGCTGCAAACTTGTTTATAGGTTGAATCCACTTGAAAGAAACCAGAGACTGAGTAACCAAAATATTGATAGTTGTGTAGTGAAAACAAATCATTCATCTATGAAAAGTTTTCTTTCGAAATATATGAAGGTGGGTTCCTAGGGTTGCTCATATTAATTTAGTCATTTGATTTTATTGATAAATCAACGACGAAATTTTCACATAAGATTGTATGAAATGTATTTATAATATCGCTGCATCGATAATCTTAGGTCACAAAACTACAAAAAAGTGAAGAGTTGTGTACTGCTTGTTGAAAAATGCAATAAACGTTTACTATTAATTTTCTGTCGTAGTAAAAAGGTATTTGTAAATTTTCTAGTTTGATTTTTCAAAGTAATTTTTAATGTCATGACGATCACAAAAAGATTAAATTTTACACTTATGAAATGATTCCAATACAGGTTCATCAGTTCTATCATTCTTCTAAAAAACTACAATTGCAAAATTATCCATAGACACTAGCAAGTATAGATATAAAATACCCATTTTCGTAAACCCCCTGCAAAGATTTCTACAATCATATAGCTTATATCATAGTCATTCGTTTCTTCATAAAATTACAATAAAAAAGAAGACTTTTTTCGGTAATAGTTTCTCGGTCATTTGGACACCTAGACTCTTTACCGAACCTAGAGAACTGTACCACAACTGTTCCATCAGGCTTTGCTAGTCTTTATAGTATGCTTCAGAAGTATCACCATTATAAACAATGTGAAAAAGAAGCTTATCTTGTGCTAGCAATGGCTGCCCCTTCTGTAATAACGTTGAGCTGACTGCAAAATTCTATTCGGTTATAAAACTTCAAAGTATATAGGAACGCGCATGCAAAGATACGGAACGCGCATCTTGTGCAATCCAGGATGTCACACGCAATGTAAAACGTCACATGCTGATGCGAAAACCCGTGGGCAAATTTCGCCTACGTTTTAGCTAAGCCTGCCTCAACCTTTTTTATCAACGGATAACGGAATACGGGCTTCACTTAATATTTACAGTTTATTATTTCATATACTCTCTATTGACGTATGCATTGATTAAAAATATACAAAAAATATCTTTTTAATTATATACCTGTCTATTTGATTTGCTCCCAGATTCAATCACAGAAATCGTGTTGTGCATGAAAAAACGACATCTGAAAGTAAACAGGGTTAGTTAGATTGCGAACATTTCGAGAACAGAAAAAATGAAAAATAAGTAAAAAATCAGATGAAAACAGTATTGGTTCGATATCGTCAAATTTTGTGAATCAAAACACCAAAAACCTCATTAACGTTTTCAGTAAAAAGCGAATATAAAGTAAAGAAAGAGGAAATTCAAAAAACCCTGCTCAAGCCTGATTTTTCTATGAGCTTACCAGAGGAATAAAACCTATATTTATCCTTAGTGTTATTATCGTAGGGGAAATCAAGTTAGACCAATAGTCCATGACCACAACCCTAGGTCAATACTCACAATTAGCACTGGTCAATACTCACAACCCTAAACTCTCTAAAACGCTCACCTTATAGCGAATACCACCAAATAGCATGAACATCACAAAGACATCGGTCTATTGCGTTCTTTAACAGACTGTAGCAGAACGTTTTGAATGGCATCAGTAATTCCATTGACGTCGATTAAGATGGAAAGCAAGTCTTCCAAGCCATTTCTGATCAACGAAAGATAGCTTCATCAGAAGATATATATAGATGCAATCCAGGTAAAATACCACAATGATTAGGAATTTTTGGACCAATTTCACATGTATGGTATTTTAAATCAAAAGAGCTCAGCACAACTTGTAAACTGAACAGCAAACATTTCCAACAAAATTCATGAAAAGTTAAAGATAAGAAAATACCAAAGGATAAGTGAGACTCAATAGTTATCCATCAAGAATTACGACTCTATTGTGAAATTGAAATAGAATTTGCTTATAAATCTCAGACAAAAAATGTGTCTTGCAACAAAAACTACATTCGACCAAATTTAAGTGTAACACAATAAGTCATTAGAGGCAAAGATGTCACTATTTAATCAGCACCTTCAAATAACTATGAAAGCAGCAGACTAATTTGATATTGGTTAAGCATCTACATTTCATAAAAAGCGATCTCTGGACACCTACGCCTTGTCCACTATAAGAATCTGCTTTTGTCGTCTTTCAGTTATTTAATCGTCGACTTACCTTCTCAGAACAGTCAAGACTTCTTCTTTTGCGTGAGAAAGTAGATGAATAATAGATCTAACAGCATGTGTTCGTATTTCAGCAACATTGGACTGAAAGATAAAGCAAGAAATGAAACAATTTAAACTTAAACTTAACCACCGACTACAGAATCTTCGCCAAAGGCTGTTCTAATCCTTTCCCTAGATAGCTATTGGTACCATTTGCAATTATTTGTCTTAAATTGTGAAAAAAATAAATCATTTCCAGCTGACAGAAACTTTTTCAAGAACGTTAGGGATGGAATCTTTAAGGGCCTTATTGTTTGTCGAAGGCCCTATTACCTTATGAAGACGATTATTGCTGAGATCTAGGTACCAATTGGAGGTGCTTTATTTATAGCAGTGATTTGAGATTAACAATACCTACAGAAAGGGCTAGCTCTGGTAGCGAAGATCTGCACAGGGTATGTGGGTTCGGCACAACAATGAATTTTCCAAATAAATAACTAGTAAAAATCTTTCCCAAATGCTAGAGCCAGCCCTTTCAAATGTTATCAGGCCTAAAGATACTACTAGGAATGGTAGTTACATTTTTTACTAAATACAAGCACACATAACTGTTACTAGCAACAAAGGTACAATGAAGTCCATACAATTTGTGAACAAATGTGATTTTGCAAAGAAGCAAAGCAGAAATAACTTGAAGAACAATTAGGTCTACTACCTTGAGGTGGACAGCAATAAAATCGGACAAATGATTCACCTAGGGAAATAGAAACAATGATAACAATTATTCGAGGGTATCGTTAAAAGTTGAAAAAATGAATAAATTTTGGTACTTTTATTTAATTTTCGCCAAAATTTTCTCTGCTTATAATATATTAAATCTTCAGGGATAACACAATATTTTGGTCTCCTCTTACGGAACATCTCTGATTTCATCGCCCACTACTTCATTTGTAGCATAACTGTCTATTCAAAATTAACTTTCCATGTTAATGAGATGCAAAATTATTCTCCCTGTAATTTTTTCCCCGAAACATTCTCTGCTTTTTGTCTCCCTACCTTTTTTTTCACATTGAATTTATTGTTTACAATTCTAATTCTCAAAGAGTCGTGAAACGTGCAGTAGAGAGATTTATTCTACCATTTGCATTTTCAAGAGAAGAGCTTAACTATACCGATATTTTTTGCCGCACTTAACTCTATGAAAGTGAAAAAAAATCATTGAAATTCACCGACAAGAACGGAAATGAAAAATTGACGTCGATTTTGAGGAAAGATCGCCTATAACCTGACAAGATTTGACGAGAGAGGGGATAGATGAAAAATGGGTTAATTTAAAAACAAATGATTTCTATAAAATATACTCACTAGAGCAATGCAGTTTACTTGGTATTTCGAAAAGTTCGCGATGGCACGGGATACTTGCAGCTGAAAATGAAGATAAATAATAATATAAATAATAGGGAAATAACGTTCAAAAACTGAAATCGTGGTAAATTTAGAATCTTAACAGTGTGACGATTAACAACAGATCAACAGTTGTAACCAAGAAAGCTATCAAAAATGAGCAAAAAAAACAAAATTTGGGACAATTGGAACATACTTGTATATCTTTTTGTTGAGGATGTGACGTCACCAATGTGCAGATAGCCTCCAGGCATTCTCGCAAGGATGACTGATCTTGTTCACAAGTTGAAAGGTTCCCAATTAAACATGCTGCATTGACCAGGACCTAACGGGTGTTTTAACTGTTTTAATCACAGTGAATCAAAATCAAGCTGCTAAAGCATCGAAATTCTCTGATAAAGTAGTATTTGTATTGTGGATCATAGAATTTAATTAGAATATGCAGTAATACGATTAAAATTGGTGCAAACAGCGAATCATTCCCAGAAAAACCAGACGCAAAGGTTTAAGAAATTTTTCAAACTCTGAATGCCTGAATTACTCTCAGAAAATCTAAAATCCTGAACAGATGCTAGTGAGATCTGGCACGCCTACACCCCCCCCCCCCTAGATTACGGGATTGTCGCACCAGCTCTTTTCAAGATTGTAGATCCCCATTCCAAGAATTTGTCAGTTTCCTAAAAAAATTCAATTGCTTCCACATATTTTTATCATATCCATCAACTGAGAACAGAAACGAAATCTTTCTTACTAAAAAGACTTTTATCATATATTGCATTTTTGCGAAACGTTTCTTTCTTTTCACAAAGTAACGAAAATAATCTGATACAAGTATTCTCTACGAAAAGTATTCTATCGACATTTGCGACAGAAAAAATTGGCACAAGGTTGAAGCTGTTCGAAGCCCTTTCCTGTTTGCTTCAACACTTCTGTACGAGGCTGGTTTCCGCACCTGCTATCAGACACCCTAGCCTCCTCCACCACGGCTGCTTTACCAAGGCTCCGCAGGTAGTACAAGACCCTGTCATATCTACCATTGCAAAAACCGCACATGGTTGAATATCGAGAAACCGTTCTATTAATGTCTCGTTGTGTTTTTATGTTATTAGCGTCGAGTTGGTAACTAACATGATCGGAAAAGAATAACATGGCCACATAAAACATTAATATGGGCGCCGACACCACTAAGAAGTGTATCTATTAAGTTAAACCATTCCACTACATGCGGTATCATTAAGTTAAAGCCCCATCACAATGCATCACAACCTATAAGCGGCAGTAACAAAACCACTCAGATGGCAGCTGATAAGCGCTTCCATATGCGTTTCAAGTTACTCGCAGCTTGTCCGCCATTATACGGCAATTTGCAAAACTAAAATGCGTCTCAGTCCACGCAGAAACGCATATAACACCAGCAACGTAAAGCCCAATCTCCAGTGAGAAAAAGTCTTGCGAAATTTCGCTGCGAAATACTTCACGCGACAAATTCCTTTGAATGCTTTTGTTGACCTCACGACATTGGAATGTAAAGTTTGGAAGCGTGACAAAGGAATACGGAATATGATTGGCTGTTGAAGGATTTCGCAAGCGAAAAGCGAAAAAAGTTAAACTCATTTTAACTTTTTTTCGCAGAGAAATTCTTCGCGAGAAATCCCAGCAAAAGATTACTGCGCATGCCTAAGACGTATTTCGCGCGAACTTTTTCGCATTTCGCAGTTTTTTTTCTCACTGGAGATTGGGCTTAATAAGCATAGCCGATGAGGAAGAAGATAGGTGCCGACGGCAATCTTCCGGGGGTTACGGTTACATGGAAAAAAGTATTCATTTTCAGCACTAGGCAAAACAACTTACCTGCTGGTTCTTCGGCTTTCTTCGAATCGCTTCAACAAAACATTTGTTGTTTACGTAATTTTCCTACAAACGTAAAAAAAATATGCAACAGAAGTTTTCAATGGACGAATACGTTGAGGGAAGAGCGAAATTTTGAATCAAGAAACAAATCAAGTAACTACGCAGAAGTAAAAAATTGGTGAAAAAGTGCAGCATGAAAATAATTGAAACAAGGGGGTGTCATCAAATTAGCTGTCTCTGAATACACAATATAATGAGACATATTAAACAACAATTCAATCCTTAATGGCAGTTGAATGGTGCAGCATATACCGTATTTATTCGATTTTATAATTATTTTTGACACGTTTTGCGGCGGTATATAATCAAGGACTGCTTATAAACTAGGACTGCTTATAAACCTGGACTGCTTATAAACGAGGGCGGCTTATAAACGAGGGCGGCTTATAAACGAGGGCGGCTTATAAACGAGGGCGGCTTATAAACGAGGGCGGCTCACATTATTTTATCCAAGTTTCCTGCCAAGGTTTCTTGTAACCTTGAAGCTAAGGGTAACAGTATAGGAGATGAGGAAGAAGTATTTCTGGGCACTCTTGCTGACCTCATACTGGACGATGTTGTTGGTTGAACTTCTAATGTCTACATTGTTGTCTAAGTACTCAATCAAGTTTTTATCAGTTTTTGCGTCTGCCATTTTAAACAATGTATTGTTGCATGGTTTTATGGCTGCAGCTTATAATAAAAAAACGGCTAACGTTTCTTCGTGTACCAAATTTGGTGCGCTTATAATCGTGGGTGGCTTAATATTGAAAAAAATACGGTAGGGAAAAGTTCCATCCAATTCGTTGTTTCTGAATACATGTTGGGTTTTTTTGCTGCCTTTAATTGCAATCTGAAGATCTAACTGTCACAATTTGTAAGCAATTCAGTTAATTTTTTAAAGTAATTTCGAATACAGTTAAATACATTAATGTGTTAGAACTTTGTTCCATTATTGTAAGACAAATAGAAGAATATTTACAAACCCAAACACGTCAGCTTGTAATACAAACTAATCAACAAAGAAAAACATCAAAGGAATTCTGAAGTTACCTGAACAATACGATGACGTTGCCAATCTGTTCCTAATGAGAGCGAGGCCAAAATCTTAAAAGCAATTTCTTGCATCTGAAAAGACGTTTAATTCTCTATAAATGCAGTTTCAGTCAAAAAGCATTCCATCTAAGACTACTCATGGTGCAGGATTAGTAGAAAGAGCAGACAAAGCACGGTCGCTCGAGACATGATGCACTTTTAGATTTGTCAACGATAACGAAAAACGGACAGATTTTGCAAATCTTAGATACTTTAAATCGCTGAAACTTTTAAATTTCATAATCAAATATTTACAATTAGGAATCTAATAATCAAAGATCACTCCTGCCATTGCATCAACCCCATATCGCATATGAAAGACTAATAAATAGAATTTCAAGCTGGAATTTCATTATCAGCACACAACTCTAAAAAATTAAAAAGAATTACACAACACTTTGAAGTGTTTGCTAATTTTGGAAAAAATTGAATACAGACAAAGGATTCAGTTCGCTATAAAATATCTTTCATGCCGATGGTTAAAAAACACTAACAAGGAGTAGAAGACAAAGAATAAAAGCAAAGAGGATTAGAGAGAAAAAAAACAAGTGTAAAATCAAAATGTAAAATTGATATAAATAGCAATACCTTTTCATCTTTTGCCGAGGTTAATGTTACTATTTTTTGAAGAGACCCTTTTCCATCCTAGAAAAAACACATCGAGCTGATTTTAGTGTGGTTTCAGTATATAGCATGTTATAAAACTCTTACAATACCTTACCAGAAAAGTTAATCCTTTAGTTTAAAAAACAAACCTGTAGTGTGTAGTTCTATTAAAACAACTTTAATATTCTATTACTTAAAAATTGACTAGAAATAATGGTGATTGGTTGATTGTTGATTATACGATGATGATTATTATGGTTGTGATTATAATGATAAATGATGATTGATGAAAATGATCTATGATAATCGAAGGTGATCGACGATGATCGCTGACAGTGATTGACTGACCATTGAAAACTTACGATGGCGATAATAATCAAAGATCGCAACTGATCATTCGTGACCAACGACGATGGCTCTAGATTGTTATGATGATTATGAAGTCACAATGAAGGGAATGTGATTGTGAAAGCAACTTATACAGCAAATCATTAGCATAAAAATGACATATTTTGATACCTACCTCTACAAGGGCGGCTAGATTTGCTTGATGCTCAACAATGAGGCTCAACGTCATAATAGCGAGTAAGGCAATGTGCTCCTTCATTTCACAGAGTGACAAAACTGGGTGTAATGCACCATCAGATACAGCTATAAAAAATAAAGGAAAAATCAATATACAAAATAAAGTGACTGTCTTCTAAGGAATGTCATAGAGAAGGGAAAAAGTAATCCATTAGACTAATGGCAAATAATAACTTAAGGGTAAATTGTATTGCTCTTTTTTCTAAAAGTTGCCTCGAAGGTAAGTGAAACCGCGTATCAAGGGCGCCAGAAACGTTAAAAGAGTGGTATTAGATAGATACCACATAAAAAGAGCGATAGAAATGAGATGACTGTAATGATAAACAGAACGGCAAAGAATGTCATTTAATCTCTCTCTTCTCTATCTACCTCATTATCCCTTTCTCCTCTGAATTGTTATGATATCTAGGATATGTGCGCCTGTTTAAGGTGCGGTTTACCGGTATCACACGATGTTACCGATGTTGGAGGATCGTTGTGATTTTACTTGCGCATTAAAAAGCAGATCCCTTTGAATCAACCACTTAATGCTCAACACAGAGATATCTCAACCCTAAACTTAAAACTGTTACTCCACATGTGCAGTGGCATAACGCAGTTTAGGGCATCTTAGTTCGATAACTGAGGCCCCCGACCAAACGGGGCCCCAAATTACTGTTATATCCACGTTTTAAAGACACGTTCAAGTTCTCCTCAATTTTAAAGCTGTTAAACTTCTCTAACTGAAGCTTCTATTAGTTGACGAGAGAAATTACCAATTTTATATCTTGCTATTGTCCTTTACATGCTCTTAAGCATTCGATGGGACTTTCCTGCCGTCTCTTAATAGGGGCTCCATCTTGCTTATCCCTGAGGCCCAAGGTGCCTTCGTTACACCACTGTTCATGTGTATTCAAAAATTCTTTAAGAAAATGTATTACGGAAACGTTTAATGGAAACGTACCTTGGGCTTTCAAGTCATCTGATTTACAGAAAATCATGAGAGCACTGACAGCATCGATGAGCGTTTTTTCCTGACTTTCATCAACTGCAGAAAGCATACTGTTGAAATAAAAAACAATTAAACAAAAGATTGAAACTGGCAATTGAAGAAAGATGAAATGAAACTTCAATCATCTTTTTACGAGTTACGGATAAAACTGACTAGATTCGGGTGGCTACAAACGATACTAAAAATTTGCAAAAGTGCATGTAAGTTGTGGTGTATGTAAAAGTGCGATGCAAAAGTGCATGTAAGCTGTAGTGTCCTGGATGAGACCTGATCTTGACAAAATTTGATTGATCTTGACTTTTTCAACAAGTGGCTTTGTAACTCAGAAAACGCGCTCATTTCGAGCAGTTTCTCACTGATAACATCATACTCCTGTCTTGGTGGCTACAACAATTTTTACAAAAAAAAACTTTCAAACTCCTTAATCGTGATACTCTAAAGGGTTTCTAATCAAGTGGAGGAGGGGTGGGGGTTTGTTTCCCGATATTACCTTATTTGTAGTCATCACAGCCCATGGATTTTTATTGTGGAACCAGATTGTACGTTTTGGTAAAATTGTAGGGACAAAAATTAGCGACTGCTCTTCCAAAAGCGAGGGGTGTCCCTGGGAATTTTTCATCCTGTCATCGTTTGAAAATATCCCTTTGTACTGACATTCCATTTTTCTGCCTATCTTGTTTGAACGTAAATCGTTCTTGGGATACATGTCAACCACTATCCACTAAAAACTAACTCCCTTTTCTCTTCAAAGGAAGACCAAGCAATTCAAAAACTGCGACAACAATTATCAATTATCCCCCACTTAATGAATACTTGGTGACATTGGTGAGACACGAGCAGACAGATAGGGAATTTAGTGAATACTTCAAAAAGTGTAACTGACCGAAATTTAGGGAATTTCTATTGAAAAAGGTGAAAAAGAAGCTAGGCATTTGTTGCTCCCAGTTTTCTTTCTCACTTTTCACGGCAAAGGAAAATCGTGCCGAACACAAGAAAAGACACAAAAATTAAACAGAATGCAACAAAGGAAACAGCTCTTTTTATCACTCCAGGACCGGCACATGGCATACACACAAGTCCAGACGCATTAGCAAAATCGGCATTTTAAACATCAATCCACAATCTGCATTATATTTGCATCTGCACCCACAGCAACGTGTTAGCAAACACCACAGACAGACAAAAATATCACTATCATTTGCAGGAGGAAACTAATGCTGAAGGAACGGCAGACTTAACAAACGAGGGGTGAGTTATGAATTTCAGTATTTCACAAAGATAATCTGTATTCATGGTTTATTAGCAGAAAGACCAACGAAACGGGAACATCATTCTAGTACAAGCATTTTTTCAAGAAAAAAAGCTCGGGACTAACACCCAGTTTCTCACTATTTTTATTTTAGTGGTAAAAGTTTCTCAAATGTTTGTAAATCACAAATCCTTAGGAGAGAAATTCTAAAAATTCCAGAACGTTACATGAGATAACATGGTATAGAATATCTAATAAGTCACAAGAAACTCTAGCTTATATTTAACAATGTCAATTAAACATGAAATATATGCCAAATCGTCGAAAAGAATCATTTCCATCCCATCTATAGAAGAACAATTTCTGAGCAGTTTCTTAATGCTGGGGGTGTTCAGTACTATGGCTTTTAAATTTTGTTGTTCCTTTTCGGGCTCAGTTTCTTACAAACGGTTTTTCTTTCAAAAAATGACTGTTTTTACATTGCAGTTTCTTTCAAATTTTAGCAAATATTTGACAACTATACCTGAACCAGGAAAACGTTGAACTCAAGTCAAACAAAGTTTTTATTACCGTAATTGGCTAGAAAAATTATATTTCAAACGCGAATGCATCAATAGCCATGTTTGAACCACGAAAACCGCTACTTCAACTAGATTTTCTTATTACTGTCTCGTTACAGACTTAGGCTTCAAAAAATAGTCAAAATACAACCACCCTCTTAACAGCTAGGACCAGTACGAAGAATAACACTTGAAAACTAAAATTGCTTCTGACGTATGACATTTAAATAACAAATATTCAAATTACAATAGATATCAAAACTTTATTTAGATTTTGTAGGTTGTGTGACGTCATCGATAAAATGAGATCATAACTTTATCACTTTGGCATCAAAATATGCCCTTGAATTCTCGATAGGTTATGTGTTGACATTCATTTATACAAATAATACGGAAAGAGAGTAAATTCCAGTTGTTTTCAATGTGAATCTACTATACGCAGTTGTTTGGGAGTGCTTTAAAGCTTTCCCCTTTGGGTACATCCCAGTTGAGGTACAAGGTAAACAGGTGGTATGGATTCAAACAGGTGCGAATCGAACTTTTAATCTTAAAAAACTGTATTTTACTGTGAAAAAAACAGAAAATTATTTCAAGTTATACGAAATGCTTCTTCAAACGTCGACTAGATGCAACAAAACCCCCTCCCGTTAATAGTTGCGAAAAGAGGCGATTGAAAGGAACCATTCCTGTACAGCTTCAGAGTAAGTATGAACTGATTTGGATCCGTATTGATTATGGCTTTTATTTACACTGAAACGGATCCAAAATGAATCTGTACCCATTGGGATATATTCCAGTTTGAATGGGGTCTTAGGTACGGGTCAATGGCGAAAGATCAAATGTGACGCTGTAACGAGAACACAAGGGGCATCGATGATTGTTGATGATGATTCATGATTAACTGAGTGATTGATTGATTGATTGATTGATTGACTGACAGGTTATAATGATTGACTGATTGATTTTTGATTGGTAATTATAATGGAAACTTTCATTTTCATTGAAATTAAAAAATGCAATACAAATCTCTTTAATACAGAATAATACATTTTACAGAATAAAAATGAAAAACAAGCGTAATTCACATATAGTTATGTATGTAGTAAAAAGGAGAGTAGTTCAAGGTAAGCCCATGCTTTGTTCCTACAGCAAAAGACGTAATAAGTGGTACAAATGGATATCACAGAAAGCTTAGAAACAACAATAATTATAAAAATTACAATAATAATGGTAATAGTGATGACCATATAGAAAACAAACAAAACATTATCCATTTTATAGAGATTTACTCAAACTATTGGCCAGAGGATGATTATCATTGTCGTGATCTTCTGGTTATGCAGCGCTCTAACTGGTGTTGTGGCGAGGCTTTGCCCAGATGTGTGTTTTTGCAGCGATCTAGCAGTCAAATGTTCAGGGCTTGGAGTGCAGGAACTTGACAATTCAGTCCCATTAAAAATCAGATTCTTGGATCTATCCAATAACCCTTCTCTAGCAATAGAGAAACACACATTCACCAGATACAAGCATCTAGAAATTTTGAACTTAAAGAACTGTTCTTTAAAAGATCCGATAAAACTTCCAGATTCAATCACTAACATAAATCTTTCACACAACAAACTACAGACAGATTCTCTTAAAAGGCTCCTGCAAAATGGGAACTGGACATTTCTTAGAGAAATGGACGCATCATCGAACAAATTAAATCTCAACAACGACGTTTTCGGTTTGATTCCAAGCGGACTACGAGCTCTCAAGCTAGGAAACAACGTGTTACCAAAAGTTACAAGGCGTTACCTGGCTGGTCTGAAAAGTCTTCGCCTGTTGAACATAAGCAGCTGCGGTTTGCAAGAAATTGAGTCGGGCACATTTGACTCACTTAGGAGTTTGAGCATGCTTGCTCTTCATAATAATAAGCTCCAAAATCTACCGTTAAGACTATTCAAATTTACAAAAAATCTCCATTCTATCTTTCTCAACAACAATCTTTTGTTAACGCCGCCTGACTTAAGCGGGATTCGCTATCTAATGGTACTGGATATTACAGCAAATCGAATCACAAGAGTAAAGACTTCAGATTTCGCCATCAATATTATTTCTGTTCTTCGTCTTAGTGCAAACAGAATAAAAACATTCAATTTTACTGGAATCAGATTCTTTTCATTAGACCTCTCACGCAATGAAATTACGGCGATTCCTGATCACGTATTTTCGGGTAACACAACCATCAAATATTTGTTTCTTCAAAGTAACAAAATAGAAAACATGTCTCCAAAGGCATTCGACAAACCTGCAAGAATAGTTGAGCTGTTCTTGCACAGAAATTCTCTAACAAAGTTGCAACGACATCAATTCGAAGGCCATGTAATCGACAAATTATTCTTGTTTGATAACAAGCTTACACATATCGAGGGGTTCTTAGATGGGATGAAAGGACCTCCATATCTATTACTTTTGTTTGGGAACCCAACGCTACATACTCTTCGAGGATCAGATTATCGAAGCCTGCAGAACAAATCAGTAATATATATAGGCTGCAGCCATCTCAAGAAAATAATAATGAAAGATGAAATAAAAGCAGATTTAGTCTGCACACCAACCAAGGAAACCAACATAACAATGCAAACTGATAAATTGCATGGTCATGGCTTCAGATGTTACACAGATTCTTTTCGTTTATTATTTCACTGCCAACCCTGCTTAATAGGATACCGACAAAACTGCGATACTGCATACTGTGGAGGAGCATGCGTTGCTTGTCCGGCAGGAGGATTCTATCAAGATGAAATGGCAGCCATTTCCTGCAAGAGCTGTCCTTTAGGCCAGTACGTACCACCAGAAAAAGCACCTGGCAAAAATGCATTGGACTGCCTCACTTGCCCAAAGGGAACAAACACAAACAGCTCAGCCAGTTATAGAGCATGCTCTTGCTTGGATGGTTACGCAAGGACCAATCGCTTTGGTGAATGCAACCAATGTTTGGAAAAAGGTTTCAATTGCAAACGAGACTACCAGAAGCTGAAGAAAGGCTACTGGATGTCTTGGGAAACCATGGAAACTGCATCGAACAAGTCGTGCAAAGAACTCTTTCTATCATTCATGGTTAACCTCGATACCATAAGTGATGACTACAATAGAAGGACAGTTCGTTATGAATGTAATATGCCCATTCCACATAAATGTCCTATCAAGGAGTCATGTATTGGTGGGGTTAATGCGACCTGTATACGAGGCTATACAGGTGTTTTGTGTGCAGTTTGCGAGAAAGGTTTCATGAAAAATTTCGGAAAATGCATAAGGTGTCCATCAGCAGTAGTTGCAGTCTTACAGTTTCTCGCATATATTGTAGTGTTCGTATTGCTATGCTGGTTGGTGTCATTGACTGACAGAAAAAGGATGTCGAACAGCAATGAAACCAGAGGAGACTCTGAAGTAATAACTAGAGACGATAGAACTTTTGCAGATGCAATTCTTTCCAGCTTTAAAATTCTGATTGGCTTCTACCAGGTTTTGAGTGGAACCATTCATGCACTGGGATACATCCATTGGCCAGAGACCATGAAAACAACAATGAACCTCTTGCAGTACATTCAAGTAGAGATTATACGAATACCCTCTCTTCACTGTATAAGAGCGGACTGGGAAATAGATGCTAAAACTGAATTTTGGTTTGCAATCATCGCTACTGTTGCTGTGCCGTTTCTTATTTTGCTTTACTTTTCAATCAAGTCTCTTAAAAGAACCCGTTGCTACTCGGCCAGCACTCAAGAAATTCATCACAAACAGAGAGAGTCTGCTAAACGTTGTTTTCGTGCCGCTGCTTTATACATTTTTGCAACATATCCTTTAGTATCAAGCCATATTTTTCGCCTCTTGCCATTCAGTTGTCACACATTTTGCACTACAGAAGTTAAAGGGAGATGTATGAACCACGTTTCGTATCTCAGAAGTGACTACCGGATTAGATGCCTTCAAAATTTAAACAAAACTAATGGTACCTTAATGGCAGCATACACAGCTTCAATTCTTCCAATAGGTCTTCCATTTCTTCTTCTTATTCTTTTGTGGCGTTTTGCCCGAAAATCCAAACAGATGGATGATGAAATCACGTTTCCAATAAACGATATAAATGAGACAGGCTTTGAAGATGAGCCATACGTCAATGCAAGGCTTCTCAATGAAAACAACACCGAGAATGAAGGAATTGTCAAATTTGCACTCAAGTTTGCTTACGAAAATTACTGTGAAGATTGTTGGTATTGGGAAGTATCAGAGATGCTTCGAAAACTCATCATGGGTGTGGGTATTGTATTTTTTCTTCGGCACACCAAAATCGGCCTTGGAGGTATGATTGTAATTGCAACATTTTTCGCTGTTCTCCATGCTGCAAAATCTCCAATAAAGGACAGGTTTGAGAATTTTTTGCAGATGCTTTCACTTTCTATCATTCCAATAAACCTTGCTATTGCTGCAATACTACAATCAAAAAGCACTGAAGATGAAGCTGTTTTGGCGGAACAGGATGATTCGTGGGCATTGGGCATCTTGTTGGTGATATTGAACTCATCGGTGATTGTTTTGGTGGCATTACGCTTGTTGCGAGCCATCAAAAGAAAGCTTTCATCAGCCGAGATAGCAAGACAACCACTCAGTTGTTGCAAGCGTTTACTTTTATGCTGCTGTGGATGCGTCAGATTTACGCCAATAAATAGTCAAGTTGATGTGATTGCGAGAGAAGGAGAACTTTGAAGGATTTGAAGTATCTTGAGACTAGGACCCCTTTGCAATATAACCTACTTCAAATATATATCTTAGCATCTCCATAAAGTTCTTATGTGCATAAAGTTCATAATAATGCCCGATTGTACCCAAAAACCTTATTAAGAAAAACGCATCACAACTTGGAAGCCATACCTCAATGGTGAAGCAGGAGGGATTGATTGACACTGAGAGAGTGACCCTTGTTGGAATGGATTTTCTAATTTTCATATATTCAGCTGAGAAAATAATGATTATAGTAATAGTATGTAAAAAAATTAAAAATGTCGTTAACGTAACTAAATAGCTTGTCTGAATTAAAATCCTTGTAACTCATTTCTGTGTGAAATAACTTGCAACTAACTACATAGCATTTATAAATGCCTTGAAAAACGTAACACGTATTGTTATCAAGGAAATGAATTAAAGAAAAATGGAATGATTAGAAAGACAGAACATACCTGCATATGGCTTTTATTGCACCACATCTTACAAGTAGTGGGTGAAGAACAGTTTGAGTTGCAAGCGTGTGAATGGCATCAGCAACTGAGGCCTGTAAAGAGTTGATATCATAACGTTCATAAATGCTGCTATATCGATAAATCTCTTGTAGGACATACATACCTTATAAAGTTTGCATCTTACAAAAAAATGCGACATAAAACAAAACTCTGAGCCTTGAAAACTTGAGAGCATCAGTTTATGACTGTGGTAGCCGTTGATATAATACAACTGAAGGGCTGTTAGAAAGCATGTTTAATACGTAGTTTCTACATAGAAATTAAAAAATGGAAAAAGCTAACAAATGATCCATAAATTATCCGTTAGAATATGTTGCATAGTTGCACAGGGTGCATCATCTAAAATCTGATATCAAAAGGTAAAGAGATTCTACTTTTCAAAAGTACCTAAAAATTTCATCACCCATTGGCAATCCCCTTAATCAGCTAAATTTTGCTGTGTCAAACTGTCGATTTTATTTCAAGATCTTCATGTTAAGGGTTACATATTTTGTATTTTAGTGTTTTCAAATTAATGAGAAAAAAAACTTGAAGTAATTTATCACCCCTCTTTTAACTATAAAAAATAATTGATACGATATAACAATAGCCTTCTATATATTTTCTTGGAGCCCGTACTTATTAATGATTCTCTCGAAAAATTAAGATTTAAAACCTGTCTATACCTTGATCCCATCGTTGATACTTTGGCTCAGGTATATAAGTGTCTGTATTCCACCCAACTCAACAACCTAAAAAAGACGTTGCTTGATGTTCAAAGTAATAAATTTGGATATAGAGAGAAGTGACTTATGCTACTTGTCGTATGAGATCTATTTGAAGAATATGGTAACACTGGCATTTAAGTCTTGACAGCTAAAACAAAAAATTACAGTGCCATAAAAGTCTTAAACCTGACAATTGTTTTCAAAGCATTTATCCTTGGGTGCTTATTTCAAGAGTAACTCCTACAAAGTTATCAAGATTTGCATGCCAGTAAATCCAAGCATGTTTTAATATGCCAAAGTAAAGAGCCTGTCCCAAAAACAATGTGGGCTTGTAGCCATGTAACCTGTTTTTTTACCAACATTTAATCAACCATGGTCACAGTGATGAATATACCCCACCAAAAGTTTTTGGATTTATCTAATGGCAAAAGGATTAGTGTTCAAAAAAGCTTGTGCTTTGCGTAGATAAAAAAGATCACAAACCTTGATTAAACTTTCAATTTCTTTGGTCATCTGGGCAAGTGACTGAGCAGCCTCTAGCTTTTTGGCCTACAGTGAAAAAAACAGAATAGAAATGTTAATAACTGTATTTCAGAATATATGTAATGGGCAAGTCATAACAGTATGTCTTATCACTCTTAATATTATCTCTTAAGAGCCCCTGGGTCTTAGGGCCCTAGAGGGCTCCCTCCCCCCAAGGAATGGGATAAAACATGCTACATCAACATTACTGAGAGTAAAAATTGCTTTTAATAGAAGAAATAAGAGCACTACTGTACACTGTGTAAAAACAGCTGTTGACAAAAACATAGCCATCCACAGTTACCAAAATTGATGAAGTTTGATATCTGCTGTTTTGAAATATTCCCTGTCCTTTTCTCGTGCATTTTCTAAATACTTCTTTTGAGCTGAATCTGCTTGATGCTGACATGAGAAACTCAACATCAATTGCTGTGTTTAAGCATAAATTACTTGCCATTATAAGACCCAATAAAATTCAGTTTATGATATAAATGATATTGTTGGTGCTAGACATTTGTCAAAATTGCAATTAAATTTCAGTGGTCTAAATAGGTGGCTGCTGCTCTTGGCTCTTATGTCCATGGGTTTACACATTGGTCAGGGGTTGTAGGCTTTTCTTGTCTGTGGGTGGGGGTCCTCTGTTCCTTGTCCTGCATTTGTTTCTTTTCTATCTTTCTACTCACTGATATCGTTGCCTGACATCTAATGTGAGACAGAAACTTGACTTTCCTCTGTAGTTTCTTTGTATTTAGAATATTGTCAATTTTTGAATTGTAAGGTGCCTTTCACAGTGGGAACTTCAATGACCTAGAGTCTATTCCAGCCATGACAGGCGCAGTAGTTGCATAGTAAAAAAACCCTCCATATGTCAAGCCTGTTAGAGATCTTCACTATAAAATCCAACTGTATTAAGTTATGTATGCTATTGAGTTCTCTTCTTTTAGTGATTGTATAAAAAATAGAAAGCTGCAAAGCTGGCCTATTCTTATGGAAACATTTCATTCACATATCCACATGAACCCGATGCATTTGCAAGGAGATTTATTTCCACCTTATCACCAAGGCTGTATAGAATACTTACAAACTGGGGTGATCTTGCCTTTGACATAATTTCACAAACTGGAGCACAGGACTCACAAACCCGCTGAGGCTCATCATAACCCAATTGAGACAAGGAGACCTGAAAAAATAACTGATTCAGTAAGTTCACTATGAGTACTATAACTTTTGCAAAAGCAGTACCACCAGGGCTCAACAAAATTGCTCCTGTTTATCCAAAAATACAACACTTTCATCTCAAAATAAAACACCATAGGTGGAGGAGGTTGATGGGAATTCCTAGAAAGTGGCAGTTAGATGAAAACTATTCACATAGCCGGGAAAAAACAAGAAGCAAGAATACATTACTAGCTGCACCTAATCCACTGTTTTATTTTTTTGATGGGAATCTTCTTTTTCTGAACTTATTTATGTGTACCTTCAAGTTAATTAACACATAAAAGAAATTCATTTCTAGTACCTTGCTATCACAACATTTACTGCAAAAGATCCTGCCACATTGTCTACAATGATGTTTTCGCCTGATCTGTGAAAATTTGTTATTACAAAGTGGGCAGAGATGAACTTCTTCATCTTTCATCCACCTTAAATAAACAAAAAAACTGAATGAAAAATGGCAATATGGAATTGTAACTCAAATCAAATTGATTGTAGATAGATTTGTTTCAATTGGAGCTTCTTTTCTTTCCCTATGGATGTAACAATAAGATTTTGCCTGTCTGTTTTCACACATACTGTGAATCAATTAAGTTCAATTATCAATATGTTATTTGAGAGGCTTCCGTGAACATTTTGGCTCTTCAAAACAGCATAAGCTTTGTTTGTCTAATGAGCTGAATTCTGGAATAGTATTCCTATAGCCATCAAAGAATCTGTATCCTTGGCTTGCTTTTGTTTTAAATCATCTTTTTCATTTCCTTCAACAAGGGTTGTGACAAATCATGGCCTACACCATTGACATACTTCTTGGCCTAGGGTTGGCCTACCTGTTGGCATGGCAATGGCGCACATTTGGATTAGCAATCATGCTTATTTAGGGTAGCAATGGTCTACCACAGAGCAATTTGGCGTAGCAATGGCTTACCACAGATCAATTTGGCATAGCAATGGCATAGGCTTGATGAATCTTCTCACTACAACAAAAAACTTAAGGAAAGAAACATTGCATTAGCTTTGCATTCAAAATAAATGCATCTTGATATTTTTGCAACACTTTTTGAAAGTTTGAATTCAAGATAATTTGGGTCAGATAAAAATATTGCTATTTACTGCATCCTCTTTTCATATTTAATTTACCATACAAGATACCTACATCACTATGCCAGCATTGATAGTTCTTCTGGGCATCCAGGGAAAAAAAATTTCTTTAGCAGTTCCAAGGCCATTGCTAGTGTGCTCAAATCCCATTTGTTGACAAAGTTAGTGAGCCATCATTTATTTGCTGACAAGTCTAAAAATTCGCTGCTGAAGGACTCCTACATCGCAAAAACCTCCTTGTTTTTAAAAGGCAAAGTTGAGAAAAAATCTTGAAGCGTTTGAACGCACAGCTAATGCAATTTTTCTTTTTTGAAGTTTTTTGTTGTACTACAGAGGTACACCAAGCCTATGCCATTGCTACGCCAAGTTGATATGTGGTACGCCATTGCTACACCATATTGCTCTGTGCTAAGCCATTGCTATGCCAAATGTTACACCATTGCTACACTCAATAGGTACACCAATGGTGTAGTCTGCATTTTGTCACAAGCCCTTCAATAATGGAAGTCAGAGACTCATTTTTAGTGAAAACCACTCTGATCTATGGAAATATCTCTTTGCAAAGGGGGGGGGGGCTCTCTTCTTGATTAGCTTTGCTACTGAGGGAGTTCCTCCTTTACATGATTCCCTATACACCAATGGAATTCATCTGAAGGTCACGCCGGATATACACCATTAAACAATAGAAATACCATGAAAAATTGGCAGCCCAAGGCGGATATATCTAGCATAATCTGAATGGATTCCTCACTGGCTTTTTACATAGATACCATATAGTATTTTGTGGAATTATGATTAAGAAGGGGCAGATCCAGACTGTCTCACCATCCGCATTTAAAACAGTCAGATTTTCAGATGTGTGTTAAAAAATTACCATTTGTTTAGTGCAAAGTATCATTACTTTTATTGGCCTGCACTCATTGCCTCAGTCGGTATACTAATCATATGAATGTCAAAGATCCATGAAGATGATATCGGGGAGATGACAGGGATCTAATGTAGTCAGATTTGGGGTATCTGTGAGACTGAAGTTCGCATAGGCATCATCCCACAAATCCATTCTGATGCTGTATTTAGATATGGAAAGTATATTTTCATCCCTTGTGTCTTAAGTTCTAGGCCAACAGGGCAATCTTGTTCTTTGATTTTACAAAATTTCGTTGTTCTCAGTTTTATCACGATTAAATAGTTTCTTAATATTTTTGCTTCGAGTACTGAAGTTTCTTAATTTTTCTGACTGTCCAGTACTCGTTTCTAATAGCCAGTTTCTTATAAAAAAATAAGTGTAACTAACATTGCTTGCAAGCTGCTTCTGGTTTTGATATTTCTGTTAAAGCCTTGTCTTTGATACATGGATCGATAGCTTGCCAAAAGTTCTTTCCATGTGTCCATCAGCATCAGCATGAAGATGATATCGGGGAGATGACAGGGATCTAATGTAGTCAGATTCGGGGTATCTGTGAGACTGAAGTTCGCATAGGCATCATCCCACAAATCCATTCCGATGCTGTATTTAGATATGGAAAGTATATTTTCATCCCTTGTGTCTTAAGTTCTAGGCCAACAGGGCAATCTTGTTCTTTGATTTTACAAAATTTCGTTGTTCTCAGTTTTATCACGATTAAATAGTTTCTTAATATTTTTGCTTCGAGTACTGAAGTTTCTTAATTTTTCTGACTGTCCAGTACTTGTTTCTAATAGCCAGTTTCTTATAAAAAAATAAGTGTAACTAACATTGCTTGCAAGCTGCTTCTGGTTTTGATATTTCTGTTAAAGCCTTGTCTTTGATACATGGATCGATAGCTTGCCAAAAGTTCTTTCCATGTGCAGGGGCGTAACTTGGCCAATAGGTTTGGGGGGGTGAAAAGGGTTTCTGCCCTGCAAAACTGAGTGGTGCCCTGCAGACCTCGTAGCAACGGTTTGTCTATAGGTTACTAGTGAAAGCTTTACCAGTGAACACTGGTCTTTACCAAGGACAAACTTCTAAGCAATAAAAACAAACTTGAAACTTCATTGCCTATGAAATATCTATTTCTCTACTTGACCGTAAATTGTTTCTTTTATAGTCACTTTATTTAATGTTGGTTTGCAAAATACTAGCTAATAAACAGCTAATTCGGGGGAGGGGAGGGTACATGATGCAGACAGTGCAACGAAATTTAGCCCAGTGGGGCTAAGAATCAAGTTTAGTGAGGTAGGAGGACCCACCATGGTTGGGTCCGACGTGAAGAAAATTTTTGAAATTATACCTTGTAAAAGGGCTAAAAAGCATCTTTCAGACAAAAATTTAGCAAAATACTATTGTGCTAAAAGAACTGATTGTTTATTGAAAATATTATTGTTTATTGGGAAAAATAGGGAGAGGGAATATCATGCTAAAACTTCTAGTATTAGACGTTGGGAAGGAAAGAAACGACAACCCTCTTCGTTTTCATAGATTGCACGTAGTTGGTGATGACAGAGGGAAGATGTTGTTATTGATTTGGGGAATTTTATTCCTGAAACAGAAATTGCACTCTTCTTGCATCGAGAAGGCCATGTTTACATCTATCCAAAATTCTAAAAAACATTGCAATGATTTACAGAAAGTGATTTACGAATTAATGCAAATAAAAGAAAAATAATAAAGAATATACGTGGAAAAAAGTTCAGCAATTAGATGAACAAAATCGGTATACTTACCCCACCCCTCCCAACACGATTCTATTATGTTTTTAGATTCATGCACTAGTTTAAAAAGTAATAGAAAAGAATCGATAAAAAATATTCTTATATTGACCAAAGAAGTGAAGGGGCCTTGCAGCCTCTCTATTCCCCTTCCATGACGGCCGTGCCTTGTCATGAAAATTAATTACAACTTAAATTAACTTGTTGATGGACTCAAAACCTCTGGCCCTCATAAAGTCATATGCACTCAATCATTTGCATCCAATTGGCTAATGAGTTTCGGTAAAAATCTTATCGCCTTTGCAAATAACGGAGCTTTTCCTTACATACCTGTGCCGTTCTCTAAAATGCAATGTCAGGAAGGGATCCGGTTCAATAACAAAAATACGATATTTCCATCTTTTCAAAATTCACTAAACGGCCCTTTCGAACTTTCAGACGGTGGCATTTCTGCGTGGCAATAAAGCTCTTTCTGTGGCGCCCTGCGAAATCTTCGGCATTGTCCCTGCGAAAATCGAACTATTTTCTGGATTGGGGGGCGTCCCCCCCCCCCCCCCCCACACCCCCCCGGTAGTTTCGCCCCTGTCCATGTGTCCATCAGCCTCAAATTGTTTAATTTTTCATTGCTGTTCTATAAAATATTGCGGTTGACCATTCATTGTTATTTAGCCAAACTAACTTGGGTATATTCTATATTTAGTATAAGTATGTTAACCAGTATATTGTGATTAGTCAATTTTGTGTTGAAAAAAATATTTTGAGTTTGAGTTTGAGTCTGACTAGGAAATTGAAGAACCTCCAATGCCGAAGGTTCCTATTAGCTCTTTGGTTGGGCTGTCACCGTTACAATAAAGGCATAGAAAATAAGAAATGCAAGTTTCAAACAATACCTGCGCTTTTCAAGTGTAAAAAGCTTTTGTGAAAAAACATTTTCCGATCCTTCAGTTGTAGCTGGTAGAACCTCTTTGTTCCCAAGCCTGATTACTGCCGCCATGACAGTTTCGAATGCAACAGCAACAATCTCCTTCGTAGTGGAGTAGCCTACTCTACTGCGCACATTTACCAACTTTTTTCAGGAAGTAAACAACAAACAAGGAGGGAATTGTTAAAAAAAGAAGACGAAAAAGTTTGCCTTATGTCTGTAACTATTGAGCTAAGCTGACCAGAGATCCACTACAGTTTTGTTTGAATTTTGAAGGCGTCTAACCCGGTAGTCACTTCTGAGATACGAAACTTGGTTCATACATCTCCCTCTGGTTCATACCTTCTCCATCTTCCTTGGTTCATGCATCTCCATCTCCATCTCCCTCTTCTGTAGTGCAAAATGTGTGACAACTGAATGGCAAGAGGCGAAAAATATGGCTTGATACTAAAGGATATGTTGCAAAAATGTATAAAGCAGCGGCACGAAAACAACGTTTAGCAGATGCTCTCTGTTTTTGATGAATTTCTTGAGTGCTGGCTGAGAAGCAACGGGTACTTTTAAGAGACTTGATTGAAAAGTAAAGCAAAGTAAGAAACGGCACAGCAACAGTAGCGATGATTGCAAACCAAAATTCACTTTCAGCATCTATTTCCCAGTCCGCTCGTATACAGTGAAGAGAAGGTATTCGTATAATCTCTACTTGAATGTACTGCAAGAGGTTCATTGTTGTTTTCATGGTCTCTGGCCAATGGATGCATCCCACTCAAAACCTGGTAGAAGCCAATCAGAATTTTAAAGCTGGAAAGAATTGCATCTGCAAAAGTTCTATCGTCTCTAGTTATTACTTCAGAGTCTCCTCTGGTTTCATTGCTGTTCGACATCCTTTTTCTGTCAGTCAATGACACCAACCAGCATAGCAATACGAACACTACAATATATGCGAGAAACTGTAAGACTGCAACTACTGCTGATGGACACCTTATGCATTTTCCGAAATTTTTCATGAAACCTTTCTCGCAAACTGCACACAAAACACCTGTATAGCCTTGTATACAGGTCGCATTAACCCCACCAATACATGACTCCTTGATAGGACATTTATGTGGAATGGGCATATTACATTCATAACGAACTGTCCTTCTATTGTAGTCATCACTAGTGGTATCGAGGTTAGCCATGATTGCTAGAAAGAGTTCTTTGTACGACTTGTTCGATGCAGTTTCCATGGTTTCCCACGACATCCAGTAGCCTTTCTTCAGCTTCTGTTAGTCTCGTTTGCAATTAAAACCTTTTTCAAAACATTGGTTGCATTCACCAAAGCGATTGGTCCTTGCGTAACCATCCAAGCAAGAGCATGCTCTATAACTGGCTGAGCTGTTTGTGTTTGTTCCCTTTGGGCAAGTGAGGCAGTCCAATGCATTTTTGCCAGGTGCTTTTTCTGGTGGTACGTACTGGCCTAAAGGACAGCTCTTGCACGAAATGGCTGCCATTTCATCTCGGTAGAATCCTCCTGCCGGACAAGCAACGCATGTTCCTCCACAGTACGCAGTATCGCAGTTTTCTCGGTATCCTATTAAGCAGGGTTGGCAGTGAAATAATAAACGAAAAGAATCTGTGTAACATCTGAAGCCATGACCATGCAATTTATCAGTTTGCATTGTTATGTTGGTTTCCTTGGTTGGTGTGCAGACTAAATCTGCTTTTATTTCATCTTTCATTATTATTTTCTTGAGATGGCTGCAGCCTATATATATTACTGATTTGTTCTGCAGGCTTCGATAATCTGATCCTCGAAGAGTATGTAGCGTTGGGTTCCCAAACAAAAGTAATAGATATGGAGGTCCTTTCATCCCATCTAAGAACCCCTCGATATGTGTAAGCTTGTTATCAAACAAGAATAATTTGTCGATTACATGGCCTTCGAATTGATGTCGTTGCAACTTTGTTAGAGAATTTCTGTGCAAGAACAGCTCAACTATTGAATTTCAATGGCAGCTTATGATGTTTTAAGTGATATTTCAAATTTGCAATGTCATGTTCCTGTTCTTTGAATTAGAGCCATTTTCAGTTCAATTTCGCCTCTAATTTTTGCAGCCCTCGAGAAGTAGGTTGTTGAAGGTAATAGCTTCACTCTCGAAAGATTTGCAATGTAAGAGTAAAAATTCGATTAGCAAATGATCAAATTGTATTTGGTAGTGTTGAAATCCATAGATTTATTTAGGTACTCTGCAAAGGTATTGTCTTTCTAACTTTTGAAATAATACCCCTCTCTAATAAGACCCACGTTTTTGTGTTCCCCTGCTTCTATTGAGCCAAGTGGAAAATAGCCGTTAAGTTTCAAAGCCGTACCAGCCTATTGTGTTTCTAAAATTTTACACATGCATCGTGGGTAGGGCGATGTTTTTAAACTTTAATGCATTTTGCATCTTGAGGGAGGCTTCAGCCTTTGATTCCCTAAACACCCTCCCTCATTTGCATATGCGGTGCCTTATAGCCCTTTTTGGCATTTATAGTAGACAATTTACCTGGCAATTTATCTCGCTAATGGCGTTGCAACCATCGATTTATTAAATATCCGTTGCAATGCAACGATAGATTCTGTTTGTTTACAGACTTCACCAGTCTCGGCCAAGACTGTTTAGTCTCAATGTTAAAAGTCAGTTATACTTATGAACTGAACGAAATTTGAATATCGAAAACATACCTTAACACGCTTATACCTGCAGTTCCTTGCCTCGACTTTTCAAGACAACAACAGTCAAAACAAAGAAAAGAGATTAGATAAAATATTTTTTTGAAAATGCCTCGGTCGTTATCAGTCTCACGTAGCGTAACTATGTCGTAAGCCCTCGAATAAGCCTACGGTGGCTTATTTCGCAAAAACAAATTTAGATAGGGGCATATGCAAGAGAGAGGCTTATTCGAAGATACGGGCGAATTAGCAGCAGCGTTGTCAGTATGCTATTTGGATATACATATGGCTGTGGAGTGTTGGGGCATGTCTCAGCCAATGGGGGATTGTCCGATTGTGCTGGGGGCTTATTTAAAAAAAATACTTTAGGTTGGGGCTTATTTGAAAAAAGGTGAGGCTTATTTAAAAGCGAGAGCTTATTCGTGCAATGGCAACTTAAATCAAAAGTGGCGGACATATGTGGGGACATGGGAAGGGGAAGGTTGTAAATGCAAGACTAAGTGGTGTGGATATTTCCGTAGCATCTATAAAAAGATTACAACATAATCGAAGCCTTTATCCTAAATGATAAGCATATAAAACAAATCCTTTCAGAACCGTCGCTAGAAATTGTACTTAAGCGGGGATGCTCAAATCCCATTTGCCGGCAAAATGGGTTTAGCCAGTCTTTACTTGGCAATAAGACTGAAAAATGCCGACGAAGCGACCCCTACATGGCCTTGCATACCTTGTTTTCACAATAAGGTTTTCTTGCAAAGAGGATATCACATCTTACTCTGGGTATCAGAGCCACAAAATTTTGAGCCAAGCGGAGGAGCGGAGGAGCGGAGGAGCATCTATTTCTGCGCTCGAATTTATGTGGCTCTGGTACCCTCTGGACTGGTGACCCCTCTCCCAACCCCCATCCGTAGCGACAGCTCTGTACCCTTTCTAATTACATTTTAGCTGCGTTAGTTGCAGTTTAAGCATTTTTTTCTTCATTGCCTAACTGTGGCGTCGCCTGACCTTCCAGACTAGGAAGATCGTTCCTACCCTATGCATTCCATCGTGTAAGGTCATCGATAGAAAAATTTACCGACGAAGACATAGGTGGAGAAGAATTTAGGTGCCATTTGACCTACCGAAAGATGATTATACAGACAAACTAAGGATTCTGTAGACAAACTGAAGTTTTACCGACGAATTCGTGAAGTATTGGGGGGGGTGTGTTACACCCCTACAACCCCTGCTAGCTACGCTCCTGTTGCCTAATATTGGTATTTATTGTGTTGCACTGCTCATAGCTACGCTTTGAAGCAATTCTAAACTACTTAAAAAGCACCTTTTTAGGTAATTAGAGTAACAAGGCGCTTATTGGAATGGATTAAATGTGCTTATGAAGTAGGTTAGTTAATGCGGGTTTGTATAGTATATATTGCTTTATTTATCGGTGAATGGAATCATCAGTCTAATAGACTGTTTCAAAAAAGTAGAGAAGCAATGAAAATTGAAGAACAACTTAATTACCATTTTTTTGTACTTTTTCGATAGGGTACAACGGTCTATATTGGGCCTGGGTGCTCTTGATGCCACGCTACAATAAGGTCTACTTTACAGGCTGTGTGTTCAACTTTGGCAGTGCTACATGCAAATCAAATCATCTGAAGAAGTTGAAGAAATTAAAGTACGCCAGGTGTTGATGACATGCCATTCAACGTAGAAAAGCAAAGATTCCGTCAAGAAGCGTAACGGGCAGAGAAGAGCACAATGAACATGCATAGGGCTAGTGTATATATATTACAGTTTGCTCATGTAATATCTTTGCCATATGCAAATACGCCTGTTCATTGTATGGAGAAATTGAATTACTTATTCGCTTTTATCTTTCTTCAAAATTTAGCTAATAACGAGGCATAAACCTTGCTAGAATTTTGCCTTCACACTGCGCGAAAAAACGTTATTCCAGTTCAAGATAATTCAATTGTTACCCTCAGAAATGTCAAAAGGGGGCACAAACAATTAGATTGAAGTGAGGGTGGTAAAGCTGACTGGCTTCACTAGGGAATTTTTAAGGGAATTAAAAATCTGGAATTTCGTAGTTTTAAGCATTTTGTTCCTATGTAACGCAATTTCCTTATTTAAACATTGCATTTGAAGCTTTAAAATCGTAGTCATTTTTTTAAGCTTTAAGAACCAATCAAATGCTCTTTCCTTTTTCCCACGTTACTTTCAATCCGCATCTGAATATACCGTATTTCCTCGAAAATTGGCCGACCTTAAAAAAAAAGCCGATTCGAAAATAAGGCGAAAAGTATTAGAAAATGAAGGGGAAAAAGGCCGACCTTGGAAATAAGCCGAGACACGGTGAAGTCATTGCACTGCACACTTTGAATCAAACGTTTGAATCAAATCATTCGAATCTACTGGAAAATTGTTTGAAAATTAACATTTTGCAAATATGGCTTCTAGTCCTACGAGAAAGTCGATCTCTGCCCAGTTTAGAACAGAAGCTCTAAAGTAAATACCTACTTTACAAAGAATTTGTTGTTCAAATTTTTCTTTTCTTTTGAGAAAATACTTCGAAAATAAGCCGCTTAAAAAGTAGGCTGAAAAATTTCATTTATAGAAATAATAAGCCACGGCTTATTTTCGAAGAAATACGGTAACTTTTCTGCTCTTAAACAAAATCCAATACACTATATGCTGAGCAGTGTTGGGCGAAAAATACTTTAGCATGATTTATTTCAGCTCATTCCTGCTATTTTCTAATCACAGATATTCAAAAATTACCCCCACTTTTCTGAAAATATGGTCTACATAATTCTTCTAAAAATGGATTAAAAATCGCTGGATAGGGGTAGATCAAATTTCCTAAGAAAAATTAACTCCGTCCAAATCACAGAAACAAGGCAAAAGGGCCGTGGTCCCACTGGCCGCGCCCATTACCCTCCCACTTTGTAATAGCTGGCGCCACCACTGCCTGACAATGTTATCTTTCCATGCAAGGTTTGCGGGTCAGTGATATGCGATGGTAAGGAGGCACAATGATACTCTAATGAGTACATTGCCTTCGGTAATGGAGAAAGGAACAAGTAGAAAGAAACAACTCCAGCCCCATTGTAGTATTGCTAACACACATTTTAAAAAGATCATATTTTGAAGATTAATTGCGGCAAATTTGAAAATCATTGAAGCGCAAACATCGAAAGAAAAGCTTAGGTAAATAACTTTAAAAAGCAGTAATATCTGAATAATTTTAGGCTGGCCATTGCGCTATTCATAATTCAATTTTAGCAGTTTTGTGCCTTAACATTCATACGAAAACTACAGACCCATAAATAAAAAAGTGTTTAGCATCTTTTACCTTTGTCTACACCATCTAAAGCCCATAAAAGTTATAGAACAAATTAACTAATAGTAAGCTTGATAATTTTGCCATGTAAATTACCATTTCAAGTCTTTATGACGAGACTGCATTGAAAATTGAAATTATATTTTGCCCAACCAATCAAATGGCAGGCTTTATAGCTAGTTGACGAAATGAGTGTAATGACTGTGTTTCAAAGTCATTGCAAATTTTATATCGGAGTTTGTGATGCGATATGGAAAAAAAACAATTGTAATTTCATTACCAAAATACCCTCTGAAGATTTTGTTTTTCATTTCTTTAAGAACAGGTTGAAAAATGCAAAACAATTTAATTTCCTAGGATCTGATGCCGGAATTGCAATAAAGTAGATGTAATTGCAAGTTCAAAAATTTATTTAAAAGAAATTCAATTTTTTCTTTCATTTTAAAGTTTATTTTATGGTATATTCCATAAAGCTTGGTTCCCACAAGGCGACTAAGTGCGTTCAAGTGCGTTGATCTCTAAACCTTTAATTTAATCAGAGATAACAGATAAACTACCGAGGCATTCCCACTTGCAAAACATAAATACTCAGCTAGCTGTATGAAGACAAGTCAAAATGTCGCATTTTAAAGACTCTCGGACATGCATTCAAACACTAAAAAAATATCATTTTTGCTCTTTTATCACTCATGAATTATGCAATTGTAAGATGTTGTAACCCTCTCTTGAAAATTTTGTAAAGGCCATTGTTAGCCACACTATCCGAAGTATGGCAACAGGGTCGCAACTTAAGTTCCCTTGCATTTTCGTGGCACAAATTTCGCAATTCTTTTACGGTGTTCATTGTAGGTGTTATATGCTTTCAGTTTATGGCCTCTCGTTAGTCATTTCAAATAATCCTGATTGTATAGCTCTTTTCAAAATTTACAGGCTAGCAGAAATCTGTTAGTTGGCAGTGTTTTATTGATCGCAAGGTGCTAACAGTCACGAAGTCGATTTCATGCGTTGCTACGGTTGAAATTGCCTTATTTTGGCTTTACATTTGCATCTTACTTGTTGGTTGATGAATGAAACATTCTTTGAATTTTTCGGCTTTTTTTATGTTTCAACGCACAGATCAAAATTTTTTGAACTTGGGGTTTAACTTTTGTGAGCGTTCAATTGTGTTCATCTCCTCCAAGTTGAATGCCCGGAACTTGAATGCACTTGAATGCATTTAGTCGCCTAGTGGGAACCAAGCTTAAGGCACGTTTGTTGTCATATTCTTGAATTCTGATTGGCTAATCGGGTATGCCTGCATCTCATACTATTCAGCGCGTCAGATTACAGCAGAAAACGAAGGTTCTGTCGTATAACTTGCAAAGTTAAAACGTTAGGGCGCGCTACGTAATAGAGGAAAAGGACCCCAGTCCAAAATAGCTTTTGGGGGCCCTTTCAAAGCCTGATATCCATTTTGTCTTTTTAGAATATCAAATTGCGTTGTTTGTACCAAACTTTATGTTTTTATTATAAAATTCATAATTCCACAGCTATGCGACTGAACCATCATTGAACTTTAGAGAAGTAAAATTTTTAACAAGACAAAACGTTTCCACGGCCATAACTTTTGCTTATAGGTCAGATGACTTTTGCAAGCTCTTTCTGATGAAAACATCAGATAAGAAAAATTTGAAGGTCAAAATTTTGCTAACCGTGCATTCATATTTAAGCTTTCAAAAATTTCGGTTAGGCAGTTCTCTGTGCATTATGTATGGTTATAAACTAAATTACGAACTTGTCGTGCTCGTCCATAAAACCCTTAAAAATTGATCCCTGGAATACAAGTCTATGACCTGAAAATGATAAAAAACTCTTGCAACTGCATTTACCTCCAGCCCAATCTAAGGCATCGGAGCACACACTTTGACTACAGGAGCTAGAGAAATCTACAACACGTTATGCAAGTTCTATGATCTAAACTATATCTTTGGCTGATTGACAATGTTTAAGTGGCAAAATATCTTTGATTAAAGTCAATCATATATTCATGAAAAAGTCATTAATATTCATATGAACAGAATCTAATTCCATGAGAACAGCCACTAATATTCAGCAACTGACGTTCCTTTGAATAGCCTCTGGTATGATGTCTTCAATTTGCTCGCCGCTTTCAAGACGCTTCTCCATGCTAACAAGCAGCTTTACGCCATCCACCACCATTTGCATCAATTCAACTTCTGAGAATCCAAGCCTGTCTGAATTTGATATATCAAAGATGCCTCCTTCTGCAGCTGTATCTACACCACCAGTTCCACGCTTCTGTAGACGTAACCTCTGCAGGATGTCATCAAACTTTGCATTCTTGCTCAGGTTAGCAAGTTTCACATGCACACCAGCTCGCAACCCAGTCCCCAGATTTGAAGGACATGTTAATACGTAGCCTAGATGTTCATTCCACATAAATTCTTTACCAGATTTCTTGATCAATTCTTCAACTTTGTTGAGGCCATCGCAGAATCGCTTGAAAACAGAACGCATGTTTCCTCCCTTTTCCATTGAAATGATGCGGCAATGATCTTCTTCGTTTACCCAAACAAGAAAATTCTTTGTGTCGTTATGCCAGATTCCACGAGCATCAGGCCAGTCGCGCGCCATACCTGCGCAAGTAAGCAACGGTGAAACTGGTTTGTCAAACAAGAAATGATCATTAATGAGTTGCTCTTGCTCTTCTTCCGTCATCTTATTCAGAGGGTAGTATTTGCCAGAAAACTCTCCGTCGAGTTTTTGTAAAGCCTCTGTGAGGACTCTTTCTACGGCTCGCCTTTCAGCGCGGTTGCAATGTGGCGGTAAGCAGTATCCTCTGATGCTTCGTCCAGTTCTGACGCGGCACGAGAAGACGTAATTTGGGTCTAGGTCGTCACCTCCTTTCAAATTGTTAGGGTCCAAATCCGTCTTGTGCTTAGCTGTCTTAGGATATCCTCCATGGCGCAAGTCAATGATTTGATCGAAGAATTCATCGAAATCTTGGTACGTCTCCTCATCCCCTGCAACACAGCCTACTGTATATATATACGGGTGTCCTGGATTATCAACTCCAGTTTGAATCGCGCTGTCAAATGTGAAACCATTCACTGTTGCTTTATTCCGAAGCTTGGCATACATCTCTTGGGTTAAAACCTTTGCCATCCAATTGCTGTGTTTTGCTAACTGAGGAAAGTCTTCCTCTGAGGAAAATCGGGAATAGGCACTTTGCACTTTATCGGCCATGTTTCCTTCTCTGAGCAGAGCTGCAACGACTTAGTTGAGAATTATTCAAACAAGAGGTCGTCGCTTTTCGTTCGAAAATGTCGAGTAACGTTCTATTATCGAATCTTTCACAAGAGCTGCGCTGACTCCGACCCCGTTTACACTGTCCCGTGCAAGTTTGGAACCGTGACAAAACTGTCGCGGTTCGCCCTTCCGTTTACACTAGCACTGTGGAACCGAGACGATTTTGCTCTGCTATCTGGAACAGTTTTGACCCTGCTTTGAAAGCGAACGAATTTCGTACCGTCACGGTTCCGTTTTTGAACGGGACAGTGTAAACACCTATCCGAGACGATATTGTCACGGATTCACAAAGAGGTCTTTTGTATGGCTGTTTCAGGTTATCGAGGCTTTGATTGTGGCGTAACTACGTTGTCAAATTCTGAAGAAAAGGACATTCTGAAGACAAGACGACGACAGAAAAAGCTTGTATTGTTTCCCAGTCCAAGCCTTCATTGGACTTTGCAGTTTTGTAGTCTAAAATAACACTGAAAATTAAAGCCACCTTGTCGTTCGTCCAAGTAAAGTTTTTATCGGCCTTCCACTGCATTTTAACTCTCAATAAAAATTGGATTGTTGACTTCGGCGGCAAAATAAAAGCCTCGGTTGACTAAATACAGCTTCTTCTAAACATTGTTCTACCATTAATTAAGGTCACTGTACCAGTACAGTGTAAACGGAACGGCTAAACGAAACAATTTGGAACCGCGACAGTGTAAACACTTGCGAACCGTAACGGTACAAAATTGTCCCGGGACAGTGTAAACGGGGTCTCTGTTACGCTACTGCCTCACTTGACGGACGCTAAAACTCTGTCTATGCGCTGACGGGATAGTTTAAAAATATATTTTGCTCTAAATAGAAGTTCCAATAGCAGGCTACTCGACGGACTTCGATGGAATTCTAGACTCTCTGCAATAGTACGAATGCGTTACGGATTTAACAAAAAATAGACTTTGGAAGAAATCTATAAGCTCAATTGGATTTATCCAACTTTTCTGCAACGTGCCGCATACACGCTGTTCCTTTTTTCTTTGAAAACAATAGCAGAACAAGAGGCATGAGTGGGCTATTGAATGCTTCCCTTGAAGCCTTTGCAATAACTTTGAAACAGATTTTTGCCGACCCGATAAAGATAGAACGTAGAACGAGCCAGGCAGTGAATAAATGTACAGAGAGCAAATCCACGTTTCATCTTAAGGAGCTGCTTAAACTTACATTTTCAAATCCGTGAGACCTAAACTGAAATCAAGTCCAATATCACTGCCATTGTATTTTTTAAAAGGAAACTTAAAATGACTTACTAGATAGCTGTAGAAATTAATCTGAAAAAACAAAAATGGATACTCCTCTGTATGTATCGCCCACCATCTCAGTGCCAAAGTTTTTCTTTGGTGAAATAGAAAAATGCCTAGACTCCTTTAGCAACAAATTTGAAAATTTTCTGTTAATGGGAGACCTAAACTGCGAAATAAGTGACAGTAAAATGAAATATTTAATGGATAGCTACAAGTTTGCTAGTATGGTCAAAAAGCCAGCCTGTGTTAAATCATCTAAACTTCGATGCATGGATTTAATTCTAACAAATAGAAAATCCAGCCTTGAAAGCACGACAACATTTGAAACGGGACTTTCTGATTTTCACACAATGATCCTGACAGTTCTTAAAGGCGGCTATATCAAGAAAGGTCCAAGGATAGTTCAATACAGGGACTATACTAAGTTTAGCGCGATAAACTTTACACATGATATTGCTAATACCATAAACGATTTATCAGGAAAAGTGTCCTTTGATTGTATAAACATAAACTTTACAAAAGTACTTTATCAGCATACTCCAATCAAGAAAAAAAATATTCGTGCAAATGATGATCCGCTCATGACAAAAGAACTGCGAAAAGCAATAATGCACCGGTCTAAGCTAAAGAATATAAACAATAGGAATAAGACCAACGAAAACTGAAAAGCATACAAGCATCAGAGAAATAAATGTGCTGCAATGTTAAGAAAATCTAAATTAATTTATTACAGAAATTTAGACACCAAAAATTTAACAGACAATAGAAAATTTTGGAAAACAGTCAAACCGGTTCTTCCGGATAAAGCACAAGTATCACCAATGATTAATCTTCTGGAGAAAAGAGAACTTGTAAATAACGACCTAAAACTTGCCCAAATCGTCAACGAATACTTTTCAAATGTTACGGATGAGCTAGAAATTAAAGAAAATGAAGCCAACCTCTCCCCCGCAATAAACATCGAAGATCCTATAGATAAGTCAGTATACAAATACAAAAACCAGCCTAGTATTAAAATGATAAAAAAGCAATGGGTACCCCAGGAACTATTTGAGTTTAATGAGGTTGATGCCATCAATGTTTTTGATCAGCTCAAGAGGCTGAACCCAAAAAAGCTTCACTGATTGAAAGCATGCCCTCAAAAATACTTCAAGAAAATTGTGAAATTTTTGTCCCTTTTCTTCATAGTAGTTTTAACATATGCGTAGAAAACAGCAGCTTCCCTGAAAGCCTCAAAGAAGCTGATATATCACCCATATTTAAGAAAGACGATGCTTTTGCTAAGAAAAATTATAGACCTATTTCAGTCTTGCCATCAATGTCTAAAGTATCTGAGAGACTAATGGAAAAGCAGATAAAGGCATATGCTAATACCTTTCTAAATTTTCTAATCTGTGGTTTCAGGGAAGGACATGGTACACAACATGCCCTATTACGTTTTGCTGAAAACTGCAAAAAGGCATTAGGCAACAGAATGAGCACAGGGGCTATTTTTGTAGATCTCTTCAAAGCATTCGATTGCTTAAACCACGATATATTAGTTGCAAAATTAGAGGCATATGGTTTCACAAGAAAAGCTTTAAATTTCATATTTAGGAAGAATATAAACCATGGAGTGCCTCAGGGTTCTGTCCTCGGATCTCTCCTTCTCAACATTTAAATTAACGATATATTTATGTTTGTGTCTGACAGTAGCTATGATTTGTAACTATGCGGATGACACAACTATATATGTCAGTGATCATATGCAAAATGGAATAATTAGAAAGTTAGAAAATGATATTGCCATTTTTATCTAAATGGTTCTGGGACAATTACATGAAATGAAATGAAGATGGAGATAAATGCCACCTGATGTTTTTCAGCAGTATAAAGAACACCAGCCTATCGATAAGAATTGACAACGAAGTAATTGCTGGGAGTTCAGAAGAAAAATTACTTGGTATTATATTAGATGAGACTTTATCCTTCAAATCACAATTAACATCCTTATACAAAAGAGCTAAACAAAAGTTATATGCTCTCTCCCGGGCCCTGTGTACAAAAAATTTACGGGCCTTTTCGCGTTTGAGAAAAATTTTTAACTTAATGTCAAATATTTAATGCCCTAGACTGATTATATTGCGATTAAAGTACCAATACATGCGCTTCAAACCACCCAAATCCTGGTTTCCGTTATTTCAGCCATGTGTTCAATCTTACGTGTACCCTGGGTCCCAACGCCAAAAAATTTCGAGCGCGTAAACAGAATGCCAAGCAGAGAAGCGAATGAGCGTACTCTTATCTTCTATTTCCGCTCTCTAATTTATGTGGCTCTGATGCCCAGGGTATCTGACTGTCAGAGACAGTGCTGTGGGAACGAAATTCATATTGGGGGGGGGCGGCTGCTAATTATATTTATTTCCACTTAGTACACTGTTATACAGGACATAAGGCTTAGGCTGCAATTATTGGGAGGGGGGCTTCAGTAAATGAAAATAACGTAAAACTCAAAACAGGAAATTCCGAAGAGAGACAAGGGGTCGTCACTATCATCTAGTTACAGAGATCTGGATTTAACAATGCCAAGAGATTTGTTGACACAAAGATGAAGCAAAAGGGCAATAAAAGCCTTTTTTCAAGATTTCAAGTTCATAGAATGTCAGAATTGCTGGCATTTGCAAATTGCTACCAGCAGCTTATCGATCAAGTGAAAACAACAACTAGTGGAAATAGAGATCCTGAAAACAGATGATCTCAGGAGAGGAAAACTGTGACTCTCAAGGTGGGGATTCACAAAGAGAGAAAGGACCCCAAAGTCGACATCGACACCATTATCAAAAGGGTAATAGCCTGTGCTCCAGACCCCTACTTTCAAGTAAGGGGGGTCTGGAACACAGGCTAAGGGGTAAAAGCTTGCCAACTGTGCATACCCTGCACATTCAAAGCTTTGTACCGACGCTCATTTTTATTTTTATATATATTTATATTTTTTATCATATAAAACAATTTTATAAGAATATAAGCATAAAAACTGGTCAAAAGCTGAGATCAAATTAGGAAGAAGCTAAGGCTGAGTTACTGTTTAATGCATTTTTGAACAACATTTCATCCAAAAATGAGGATTTTTAGCCATGTGTGGTTGCTTTTCGGTGAATATTCAATCTTTTTGTCAAATGAAGGCTGTCTCACTCACTTTGTTGGCAAATAATGCCTGAACACCTCCCAAGAGCAAAAAAGCTAGCAATCGCACTGCTTACACCCTATTAATTTAAGAGCAAATTAAGGACAATCCACCCTCGGATTTTTGCGAAAATTAAGAACAGTCAGCCTGAACCTAAATTTACTAGTTTTTATAAAAAAATAGTGAATACAACATGCACCTAGCAGCATACCCTTCCCTCTACAACGCGTATAAATGCTTGATGATACTTAGCTGCACCCAAGTTTCCTTTGAAAGATTATTCAGCGCTACCGATAATTTCAAAAGAAGAGAAAACTTTCCACTTGATTACGAACAAGTCATTGGCCAATTTGCTGATTCATTTGCACTTCTTCGAAAAGAGTTGAAACTCTGAGAATTTAAATAAGTTTTGATCATGATTCTTAACTCTACATGGGATTTTAAAGCCTTTTACACGGGAGGAAAGGTATGGATCCAATTGGGTCCGAATTTACGAATTAAAGTCGATATACTGCTGCTGTTTAGCGTATTGCTTTATTATCAATTTTTATTGAATCAAACGTATTCTTAGCCACATTTTTAGTGGGTGTGGCTCAATTTTTCCCGCTTCGCCCTAAACCGGGCCCTTGAGTTTTCTAGCCACCCTGCGATTTTGACGCCAGACCGCCCGTGGTTTCGAAGCTGCTTATATCTTGGCCATAGTGCTGGATCTTTCTCAGCTCGTCTCTTAATACGGTCTCTCTCGCACATCAAATTCTTGATGCTTGGAGAATCCATGGTACATGTGCATGCCCCGTCTTAGCAGTCCTTTTTTCAACGGGGCATGCACATCCAAGACAGCGAGAAAGAGATCTTAGAAATTGCTAGCCATCCTATCAGGGTCATCCGATCTACATGACATAGCCATTTCCCAGTCAATACTACGCAAGTCATTAAGGAAAGAGTCACGTTCAAAATTTCTCAAACTGGTTGACTCTGTCTTAAATTTCACGTCATTGACATGAACTCTAGCGTTTAATTTTCTAGTGACGTATGTCATATAGTGGTCTGTAATACCGATTTTTACGACCGATACATTACAGAGGTTGTTGGGTCTGTTTGAAGAAAGGTTATCTATTAACTAAAAAGTTTTATTAGGCTCTTTATCTTTCTTTTAGTTAAGTTAAGTGAGCTTCTGCTAGATGCCCAGAGCATGATAGGGCAACTGATAAATTATTACTGAATGTTTTATCTTCCACAAGATCAAATTACGAAATTTACAGCAAAGCTGACATTTACATGAGATGTTTTGTTTTTGGTTTTGGGCATTTCGCTTTGTTTTAAGTTTTGATAAGAGAGTCTTTCCGATTACCGATTTTGTATACGCAAATTACAATACATGAACTCTATATCGAACTGACGAGGAAAATTCACATTTTGTGAACAAAGCAGGAATCTGGGATAGCCGCAAAAAGACATTATCACAAATCCCAAAATTCAATACTGCACATTTTGGAAATCAATACTGTACGTTTTTAAATTAATACTGAACAAAGTGTGTAATACTGCACACTAAAAAAGGCCCTGGAAAGAGCATTATCATTCAAGAAAAGAACATGCACAAATTACATAACAAAATATAGGCAACATTGGAAAAATCCTCTTTCCCCTAAATTATCATCTAATTTGCATCATTTATTGATCATTATGACCGTAAAAATTTGTGTGAACCCCCTCCCTCCATCTTTGATTAGGTAATATGTGAACGTTCCCATACCCAACTGCCAACACATCGATAATTTTATCCAGATACAACCATTCTGAATGGAAAGAACATAGGATTGTACTCAGTTATTGCTTCAAAAGTGAGAACCCTCTCAGCTATTCGATATCAGGCATTTGAAATAATTCGCATTAGCCATAAGTGAAGAAACTAATTTGCGCTTGTCATAAGTCTTGGTTAATCACAAGTCTTGGGCGTTTTTGAAGATTTCGGAAAACCATTCAATAAATTATACAATTACGAGGAATTAGCAAAAACTGTTGGAAATTTAATACATCATTGATATAGTTTTTCTCAATTTAATGGTGAAGCTAAACTAAACTGTAAAATCTATGACGCCGAAACCATAACCACCGCAAACTTTTTATGCGAACGTTCTTTCGAGTGGTCAATTGATGGTTGTAATCAATTTTAGTTCTATGCGAATATTGATAATTGCCTTTCGAAAGTTTTCAAGTTTTTTGAAAAATATAACTCGAAGCAAGGGCTTACCGGGAAATTTCACCGTGTTCTGGTGGGCCGAGAAGCGATGGGTGGAGAAAAACTGTGGATAATTTTTGCAGGTAGAAAGGCCAAAATTTGGTGTACCCTGCAGAGCAGTGAGAGATCGCTTCCAGAATATTTTCACCAACAAAAAGTCCAAAAATAGAAGAGAAGAGAGTGCAAGTGGAATTAATCCTGAGCACACAGAAAACATGTTCTCCTTGCAAGATAAGGGAGTTTTTTGATGCAGCAATTGCTGATCAGCAAGCAGCATCCCAGCAAGTTAAAGAAAAACAAACAGCAGAAATGGAAAAAGCTGAAGATAAGAAGGAAATCAAAAGAAACAATGGGAGAAAGAAGGAAGAGAAAGGAAAGGGAGGTAACACATGTAAGTGAAAAGAAACGTTACGTTTGGCAGAAAACCTTTCAAAATTATTCAAGAAAGAATCAGAGTTGGCATTTGACTCAATCCGGGCTTACTCACAATTGCGTTTGGAAACCAAGTTTAGAGCCACTTTCCGTTTATAATACAAATTGAAGAGAGTTTACCCTGGGTGAACTCAACACAGGTTGAACCCGGGTAGCTTTTTGTAGTGTAAACTGGGCTTTCGATTGGAAATAATTTCACTTGCTTTCATTTTTAAGCGTCGGACGAAGAGTTCAAGTGAATTTTGTTCCACTTTTCCGAGCTATTTTTAACATTATTTCTTCCTTGTACTCATATTGTAATTTCTGAATGTATGACCAGTCATTCAATCAGTTCAATTTTGCGTAGATAAAATATGCTCAATGCATTCTAAACAACAGGCTACACCACTCAATTTTTTCCTCTCTTGGGTACAGTTAAATTTTAGCTGCAAGTCCGCGCTGTGAGTTATTTTTCTCTGATCGCAGTAGCTGCATAAAAAATTCACCATATCTTTGAAACGCGTTCGGATTTGTAAGAGGTATTAGATTCTATAGACTAAACACTGAAGCAACGAACATCATAGAGAAATCAATTTTGTTCATTTTCTTGATTATTTAGATAAAACATGAATCAAAACTATGGAAGAAAATTTGCATAAAAAGAAGCATAACTAAAGGATATTCCTGGGAATTCGGAGCCTGGAGAAATCCCGAATTAGGCAGGCTTAAGAAGGTATCTTTCAGAGTTGTTTAAATGATCGCGACTTTTTTAAAATATAATTTTCGCAACTTTAGATCCGCAAATTTTTTTTATAAAAAGAAATTATGCTTTTTTGATCTGCTCTCCTTTTCGAATGAATGTATAGCGAAGGGCGGGGGGATAGTGTGAGAAGTGACGTCATTGGCAACATAATAGAGGGGTTCAGAGAGAGGATGACACAAAGGGCCAGGGGGCCTAAAAATATTTAAATTATAGGTGATATCGTTTATGTATGACCCTGTCATGAATGTCAAATGTCTTGGACTCGGCCTAGGTGGACTCGGCCTAGGTGGACTCGGCCTAGGTGGACTCGGCCTAGGTGGACTCGGCCTAGGTGGACTCGGCCTAGGTGGACTCGGCCTAGGTGGACTCGGCCTAGGTGGACTCGGCCTAGGGGGACTCGGCCTAGGTGGACTCGGCCTAGGTGGACTCGGCCTAGGTGGACTCGGCCTAGGTGGACTCGGCCTAGGTGGACTCGGCCTAGGTGGACTCGGCCTAGGTGGACTCGGCCTAGGTGGACTCGGCCTAGGTGGACTCGGCCTAGGTGGACTCGGCCTAGGTGGACTCGGCCTAGGTGGACTCGGCCTA